AACCAGAATGTATTTTAAAGGTTGCAATATATTCAAACCTACCTACATACTAGTATTTCTGAACAGCCCAAATCCTACATACAAAACCACCCACGGGCCTGACGACAGAGGAGAAGTAGCCTCTTCAGAAACAGGAAGCAGAAGACGAGAGCTTCCCTACTCGCGAGTGCTTTTCCTGCATCTAAATTCAGAATTTCTCCCTCGTCTGGAGCAACTCGACTCCGAGCAGCAGATAAAACCCCCACATCTTCAGATTTGCACCATGGGGCTTGTCGAACGTTGCCAGCTCCTCATCACCCTGCAAAAGCAGACCCCTTCCCAGCGCAGAGGCTGCGAGTAGCATTGCTGCACGAGGAAAAACATGGTCCAGCATGGGCAACCGGGTCTGCTCCCCGCCCCGTGACCCCAGCCGGGTGCGGCTTTCTCCGCTTCCTGCTGGGTGAGCGTCGGGTAATGATCTTATCTCACACCGTACCTCATCTTTGTGGGTGGACGGGTGAGCAAACACACTCCCAATGATCATATCCAAAGGTTCAGAAAGTTTGGGGTTCAGGCCCGTGCAGACCTGGACACAGAAGCAACCATGCTCTTGGGTCTCAAATGGGACCAGACCCATTTGGAGGAAGGGCGCTATAGGGCTGTGCCACGGCCCCACCGCTTTTCTGGCTCGCCTCCACTAGCTGGCATGGCAAGGGAGGAAGACCTGGGTCGTGGCCTTACCGCAACTCGAGTCTGAGTATTCGGACTGGGTTTCCCCCATCTCCTCGCCGAAGGTCGAGCCGGGGGTGTGAAGGCACATCTCTGAATGCTGGGGGGACTGAGAGCCGCAGGAGCTGCATTTGGACGAGTGCATGTACAGCGGGGACTGGCCGTCGCTGCTTGGAGAGGACCCATCCAGCGTCCTGGGGAAGAAGAGCAACGCAACCCGTGAGGACAGCACGTGCAAGACTAGGGCTGCAGCTGCCACCACCAGCCCCGGTGCAAGGTGAATACAAGCAAGGACTGATGCTCTGCTGTGTACTGAGCAGCAATGCTTTACCCTGGGGATCTCAAAGCCTCCTATAAACATCCTGGTGCAGCGGGCAGCTGCGGACGATGTGCGAGACGATTTGCCCAGGGCTACAGAGAACCAGAGCGAAGTGGGGCTGGGAGGGGCCTCCATGTTTCCAGAGAGGCAGGATCATCTCTGTGCAAATCCATTACCTAACCTCTTAGCAAAACTACACCGACGCAAGCGTAAGACATCACACCCTAAATCTGCCGCAGGGAAAGCAGGGGATTCCCAGCGGCCAAGCCGACCACCCGATTTAGCCATCAGACTGCCCTGGTGTTGCTACAGTAGGGAAATCAGATTCAAAGACAACGAGGGTTGAAGGGACCTCAGTCCAACCCCTGCTCCGAGCAGGACCAGCCCCAGCGACATCATCCCAGCCAAGGCTTTGCCTAGCCGGACCTTCAAAGCCTCCAAGGATGGAGAGAGTCCACCACCTCAATGTACATTACTGACTAAATCCTCCACTGGTGTCGCCTTAAACAGCTCCGCTGGGTTCGCCAAGGAGCAGTTTGAGGATCTGACCCTACTGACAGAGGAAGCGTCGCTCTCCCACGCACGAATAGAAACCAGCACGGCCGCAAGGTTTCATCCTCACCTGTTAACAATGTTGTTGAGCCTGCTGGCTTGTGGGATGGTGGAGTCCTCCCCGCTCACGCTCATCTTGGTCGGGGACTGGACGTCCAGAGTCTCGGGCTCCATCGACTGCTGGCAGTTCGAGAGGGGCATGTAGGAGCGAGGCGAGAGAGTCCCCATGTCGCTCTGCTCGGCCCCCTCTTGCTTGGTGCTCTGGTTGAGGGAGTTGAGGACGATGAACTTGTACTTTTTCCAGTTGCAGGCTTTGGGGTCGGTGGGGCTCTTGGTGGCCAGCGAGCCGGAGCCCTGCCCGATGCGGGCGTTCTTGCTGCTGCTGGACTCGGTGGGCGAGTTGGGTTGGCAGTCCGACTTCTGGGGGCTCTGCGGGCTGATGAGCCCCTTGCGGTTCATGGGCGTGTTGGTGGGCTCGAAGTGCTGGCTGATCTCGTCTTCCGAAGACGTCCTTTCTTCCTCTTTGCCCACCTTGTCGCAAGCGAAGTAGGGGTTATTTCGGACGGACGGCGCGATGGGTTTGGGGCCAGCAGCGACGCTATAGTGCACGTCGCCCCTCGCCTCCTCAGTGGCTATGTCCTTTGGGGAATAAACGGTGGTGTGGCACATGTTGGCAGAGACGTCCGTGACGGCCCGCGTGTACTCGGTCGGGACGGTCCGGGAGGTCTCGCAGGGCAGCGCCCGTTCCTTCGGGAAGGGGTTGGCTCTCGACAGGTCCGACAGCGGCATCCTCACCTCCCGCAGGTCATCGTCAAGGAGGAAGCCGTTCAGGGGGATAGGGCTGTATCCCGTGTAGGAAAGGGGGGACCCAGACAGGCCACTGTACAAGGCGGGGGCGAACGCTCTGCTGTCGCATAGGGACCCGTTCCGGAGAGGCATGTTGCTCTCGGAGACGTCTCGGGCCCTGTATCCCATCATCTCCGTATGGCTCAGCATCCGGCCGGCCAAGAAATCTTCCCGGGGCATCTTCATGGCCATCTCCGCTTCACTGTACAAACAAGCAAGACCGCAGGGAAGGAGTTACTACCACCCCGAGCATGGACACGACGACGGCCGACGCGCCGTCCATTCTTCCCCCCCGAAAAAAGCACAACAACACACCCCGGTCTCGAACGGGGCCTGCGTCTCTCACCTGGACTTGACAAACTTCCGGCAGGTATCGACCACGTGCTCCATCTGCAGGTAGAGGGCTGTGGCCATAACGGCGAGGATGTTGCTCTCTCTCAGGTTGAGGCGGGAAGTGTACATGAAGTCCAAGAGGATGCAGAACCCCTCGGGGTTGATGTCGGGATCCAGATTGATGACGTTCAGGTTGCACTTGAGCTGGTCGGTGAAGATGCTGTAGAAGAGGCCGCTGCAAAGGGGAGAAGGAGCGGGAGGAGAAGGAGAGTGAAACTTTGGGAGATGGTGGAGGAAGAGGGGAGTTTGACTGGGGTACAGCACGGCGTGGGGGCTCTGGAAATCAGCAGGGGGGCTCCCAAGTGGATGGACGTCTGGGAGAGGCCAAGGACTCCTATCGTGGTACATACAAGCCCACCCCATCCATAAATGGGCCCAATTAAAATTTTCTTGTCCACTTCTTCCTCCTGCCCTGAGCTTCTTTGCTGAGT